CGATATCTTAGTATCTTAGTACTAAGTAAACTATAGATTAATTTTTGTTCGAGGCTAAAATTTCAACATTATTAAACAAGCTCGTTCGCTTCGTTCTATACCGCTTCGTTGTAACGTCTCATTCTTTTGCTGGAAATGCATTTATCAGATTTCAAAGTTTCAACCCTTCGCCGTCGCATTGGGTCAAAATGTCCCACGCTTCTTTTTACGACAGTGCGACGTTGTCGCGAGATATCGAGTTCCATTAAAGGAAACGATGTTCTAGAATGTTCAAATAATATTCTGGAATTTTTGGGTTTCAACGGTGTTGCTAGTTTTTGAGCGACAGTTTTTTGAAACGTTTCCTTCTTTACGCGTTTCATTCTAACGAATAACTGATCAGTTGGATTGAAATAAACGAAATTGATATGTCTCGCACGATAAATATAATTACGCTTGGAAATAAGCGAAAGGCACAGTAATTGGCTGCACCATAGTAACTGGCCCCGCTACCATAACCGTCCCCGAGAGTTTCTTAGTGGACTAATTACGACGATTTAAACAGCGCCGTGGGTCGCATCGGTGTTGTTTATCCGGCGAACGTGTGCCGGAAAAATCGTCGCCGCGAAATCACGGCGCAGAAGAAGGAAGTGCTTCTCTAGCTTCGCTTCTCGCGATACACCTTCGGGCATTTGGGGACCATTAGGCGCTCCAGCGTGCACGCGCGTTTACGTTCGAGCTGCGATAAACGATCCCGGCGACGACGATGAGAACGGAGTGTGGAGATACATACGTTCCGGTGTTTTATTATGGGAATGTTTGCATTGGAGCGGCTGGCAGAACGATGTTTGCTAAGTGACGATACGGGGGAACAAAACGTTACTTTTTCTCCGCTGTTGCCGCCGTTCCCGTCGTTTATACGTGCGTAATAAAGAAATATAGATCGCGGCTACGATAAGCAAACGCCACCCGATTCCCGGAAAACAATTCGTCATTCTACGAACTGAAATATCTCTGAAAAAGTTGGGCGCAATTTTTCACGTCATTGGATTTACCACGTATTTGAAAATTCATTCGGTGATCTATCGAATAAAATTGAAGAAGAAACAGGTAGTTGGAATTTTCGGTGTACTAGAATTTTGCGAAAACATTTTAGGAAATAACGAACAAATGGTTGAAACGGAGGTAGAAGCTGTAAAATGAGGTATTTTGGAGAATTATTAAAATTCGTAGTATAATTATTATATTATTATATATTATATATATTATATATTATTATATATTATATTATATTATATATTATATTATATTATATTATTATATTATTATATATATTATCGTATTATATTATATAATAATATTTGAAATTGTTAATAAGCGAACAATTAATCCTTTGCGATCAGATCGCTTTTATTTGTAATCGTTTCTTAGAAGAAAAAGAACATTTATATTTATAGCATGGCTATTTTATTGTTGCATAAAAGAGCAGAATAACATTTTCATGCTTAACAGGTTATTATTAGAAATCTCTATCGTGAGTGAAAGTGCGGCAAAAAGCTTAACGAAGTCAAGTATTTCTTAGATTTCCATCATCGAAACAGAAAAATCTGCCTTACTTATGGTCGCATAAAAAAGAACACAAAACGAAGTTCCACTGTTCTTAAGACTCATAAATACCTATTAGTTTATTCTTCAAAATAAAATGCCTAAAATTGTATTTCTTGCTCGAACTATTTTTAATAATAAATTTCTACCGACTCGTTAATTTTTCTATCAATTTATTCGGAAGGTAAGTGAACGCATAGATTATGGAAACTTGTGTAGCTCGTGTAGCCGGCGTGCGGCCTTCCGCAGGTATTATACTCGGTGTTGCAGATCCATTAACCCAATTCTCGTAACTTTGACGAGAATCGAATTCGAAATTGTAGACGCGCGGAAAATCTGGTCGTCCCAGTTCGGAGGCCCGTGGGCCATGCAGAGAAAAGGAAGGGAAAAAAAGGGAAGTTCGGCGATACCGCGGCACGGCGGCGCCAAGTATTTAATTAAAAAGAACCGCGATTAAGGAACTATTTCAATTTCATTCATTCTGATAAATGCTCGTCCGGTGTCCAGCGGTCGAGGTAGCTAACTTCTCTGACGTAAGCGGAGCAGTGAAGGATCTCGTCGGACTATTAAATCGGATTCCCGAAACTTTTAATTGTGTCACGCCACCTTAGCTAGGCATTTCGTAACGCGGATCAGGCCCGAACAGATCGCACTCCGGGCGGTTCCGCGTCCAGTTTAATTAGAGATCATAAACTTGTAAGCACCGCGTCCGTGAATAGGCGACGCGTCACACCGGCCATCCATAATTGCAATTGCAACCGGCCGGGAAATTCATTGGGATCGAGTACAATTTGTTCCACGGGCCGTGTGAACCGATGCGGATGCTTTTTGCCGACAATCAGCTTAATGTCATTTAACGCTGACTTTTAACACGTTCCGTGCCACGTGTACCATCGATGGTACACGCTTGCATGTTTACTTAGTGAACTGAACAAATTGTTTACAAGAAATTTAGAACCGAAGAATCAATTTCCACCGCAAGAATGGGCGTTGATAAGTTTTTGTTACGTTGTTATGTGTACGAGAATTAATAATTGCACGTAATACATCAAGTTTTAGTAAAATATCAAAGTGTGAAGATTCGAGTAAAAAAAGCTCGGCACGGAACGTGTTAAGGACTTCGGCTGCCGATAGAATTTTCTCCGGTGCGCGACGGGTAATTAGGCTGGACGCAATCGTCAACGGATCACGCAGAATGTGGTTTTTCAAAGTTACGTTCTAAACGCACCTGTGTCAATGTACCCATTACTGCGGGTGTACGCTTTACTGCGGTATTGATTCGCAATGAGATTGAAACATGTAAATGTAAATTTGTTCATCCGAATAAAATACGAATCGACGAGAATGTATCCTCGTCGAAGGAAAAAAATTGTCAATCGTTCTCATATTTTTGCGGATTTGAATAAACGTTCTTTGTAAAACGTAAAAGTAAGAGCATTATTTTACTTCTGTCTCGATTGCTAAAGAACTGCCGTTCAAATCATTTTATGTTCTTTATATTGTTTAATGTTGAATAGGAGAAATCTTCTTTTATCAGAGTTCTTCTTTTGATACAGAACGCGTAATCCTTCAATAAAATGTTGGAACATTTATTACGTCGCGATAAATTAGGAGAAATATTAAAACAAACTACGATCGAAGTAAATAAATATGCAGTAATCTGCATATTTATCCTAATTTCAAGAATTAGGAAGTGAACTTTTTGATTAACAATAATCGAATTCTTATACATTTTTATAAATAATTACTGAAGTTTCCATTGGATTCTTTCCATCTGGTTAATTTTTTTGTTTAATTATCTTTTATATGAATTCATTTTGTTGCAGATTCTACCGTCATTTCGAAAACTGTGAGATAAATGGTCTGGCATTTTGTCGACCCAATTTTTGGCAACCGTTTCAAACGTCACGTTCGTTATCGCCATTCGTAAATTTGAATCGTTAGCAAGCTCCAATTTTTTTTTGAAATAAAACGTAATTCATTATGTGAAACATGAACAAATTTGAGAATTCGCGGGATCGCTGTACCGTGCAGGTTGTCGTGTCATAGTAATGAGCAGATCATTCATTTGATAATTCATATAATTTGTTGCTCTATTTGCGTGAAATGTTTCGTCATTCTCAGATTTTATAGGTTTTTGCAGCTGCCCCTTGTGAGTCAAGAAAGTCGAAAAAATATTATCTTTCTTCAATTTCATGTTGCAATTTTTTTTCAAAAATTTCTCTACCGATTGATATTTCGAAGAATCAAATCAACAAATTGCATTTCAGGCATATTTTTCACTTGAATTATTTAAAACAGCATTTTTCATAGTATGTAAGGGAAAATTGTTATTAATAGGAAAAAGAATATTAGGAAAATTATCAATAATAAAATAAATTGTATTTCCTTGCGAGTCAAGAAAGTCGAAAAAATATTATCTATTTTCAATTTCATCTTGCAATTTTTGCTAAAATTTCTCTACCGATTGATATTTCGAAGAATCAAATAAAAAAAAAACAAATTGCATTTCAGGCATATTTTTCACTTGAATTGTTTAAAGCAGTATTTTTCATACTATCTAAGGGAAAATTATTATTAATAGGAAAAAGAATATTAGGAAAATTATCAATAATAAAATAAATTGTATATCCTTGCGAGTCAAGAAAGTCGAAAAAATATGATCTGTTTTCAATTTCATCTCGCAATTTTTGCAAAAATTTCTCTACCGATTGATACTTCGAAGAATCAAATCAACAAATTGCATTTCAGGCATATTTTTCACTTGAATTATTTAAAACAGCATTTTTCATACTATGTAAGGGAAAATTGTTATTAATAGGAAAAAGAATATTAGGAAACTTATCAATAATAAAATAAATTGTATATCCTTGCGAGTCAAGAAAGTCGAAAAAATATTATCTGTTTTCAATTTCATCTCGCAATTTTTGCAAAAATTTCTCTACCGATTGATACTTCGAAGAATCAAATCAACAAATTGCATTTCAGGCATATTTTTCACTTGAATTATTTAAAACAGCATTTCTCATACTATGTAAGGGAAAATTGTTATTAATAGGAAAAAAAAATTAGGAAAATTATCAATAATAAAATAAATTGTTCACCCGGGTACATACTTCGATTGCTAAACGACCGTAAAAACCTTACGGTTACCTGCACAAGAGTTAACCCTCAGAGAACCGTGTCGGAGTCGCTTCAGACTCACATCGATGCTTTATTACGGAACCGTGGTGAGAGTGGTAGCTTCTCGTCGTGCGGGTAATCGTTTTCGAAACGACACGGATGAGTCACCAGTGAGACTCCGGCACGGTTAAATTACCCTCGAAGGGTTAACCATACCCGTCGAAGTCCGCGAGTCCCGAAAACAGCGCAATTTGTTTGCCATACTGACGGCTGATTATAATTATCATTTCCAGACACCGAGAATCCGAAAGTTTCGACGTGCCCGACGTCCTTTGAAGTGCGACTAAGCCCCGGCGAACGAAATCGCTTAATATTCTGGCAGGAGGCAACGTTCGCCGACAACGTCGGCGTCGAGCGGGTCTACAAAACGAGGGTGAGCAGAGAGACATCGAGTTCGAGTGTAATCCTGGTCGGTGCCCCCGCGTCTCCGTTTTCCCTGGAAATTTCGACCGTTTGATCTCGGCAAGATGACGTTTTAGCGGCCGTCCCTTTATTTCCCAGTCGAGACCCCTCGTCGAGGGTTGAGCACAGTTATCATATCGGTTTCGTTTCTTGGAACGGTTTACGGAGAGCCGAAAAATTCTCGTTATTGTTACAAGGTATATAGAATACGATGTAACGTATAATATACTTTGTAACATTGTATATAGAATGTACCGAATCGTTCGGAAAATTGTTTCGTTTTTCAGAAAAAAATTTCGTTTCGTAAGGGTGTTAAAAGATGATTCAATATTTTGCCAATAAAAAACAGGACTTCTACGCGAATAAGATTGTTGAAGCTATCAAAAAGATGTCGAGAAGCTTGTTTTTTTATTCCAAAACATTAAAAAATAGTCTTCCATTTTGTCGTCAAAGACAGAAACAATTTTCCAAACGACCCAATACAGTAGACATAATACACGGTGTCCGATTTTAATTAATAATTGTGATTCACTCATTGGACAGATCACATCGTCACAACTTGAAACGGTTATTTTCAGAACCTCTTCAACCCTTATCCCTCATTCTCTTACGAATATCCGCGTTTCGACCAGAGTTGGGCGTTATTCGAATACTTCCGAATAAATATTTATCTAAGATAATTATCCGAATGAATTTGACTTTTGAGTCAAATAACGATTATTCATTATTCGTCATAAATGATTCTATTTATTTATTCGAATAATTCTTTGTACGTAATAATCCGTTATTTGAACAATTCTTTGTATATAATAATTCTTTATTTGAATAATTCTTTACATTAACAATTCTTTACATATAATAATTTTTTGTATATAATAATTTTTTGTATATAATAATTCTTTGTATATAATAACTCTTTATGCGAATAATACGAATAATTGTCGGCTGTTCAAGGGAAAGATTATTTTACTTACGCATCAATAATCAATTTAGCCAAAAGTAAACAAACATGCCGAATCAGCAATTGAAACGCGAAATGTGAAAGAAATAAATCGATAAACCATGAACAAAAGCCTTCATATTCTATTAATTTCGTTCGAATCGATTATTCTCCGTACGAATTTCTGCACGAATAAATTCTCATACGAATGAATTCCCATTGATATCAAATCTTATTCGGATAAATTTCAATGAAAATGAATTTTTATACCATCGAATATTTATTCGACGGCGTCGCATAAAATTTAATTAATCAAGTCTTCATCCCTTATCCGCCACCCGAATAAAATTTAACCCAACTCTGGTTTCGGTGCTCGTCGCACGCCGCCCTTTAAAAACGACCGATCTCACCCCCCCCCCCTTCTTCCACTGCCACTCCTTTTTCTTCCTTGCAAAGGGTTTATTAAAACTTCCGTACTAACGATCGAACTTGGCAATCTCGCGGTTATCTCCGGCCAACGTGCCGTCCGTTAATTACCCTATCGTGTCTCGAGAGCACGAAATCGGTGACCGGCCGGTGCGGCGCGACGACGTCCCTGAAAAGAAACCGAGAAGAAAGGGCGGGCGCGAGAGGATTACGCTCCTTTCTTCATCCTTTTCGTTCCCCGTAGTTGATACGACTTAAAGGGTCTCGCGGCGATTAATCGGGGTTCGGTTTCAATCCTTCTCGGTGCCGGCTATTTTTGATCTTTTATTCCGGAGCTCCTCGAAACTCCGCGCCCTTAATTACGTTGCCGTCGATCGTGTATTTGCAGTGTTTGTTAAATACATCGTTGAAGTAAATTTCGTTTAACGTCGATTTCCAGGGTTGGCCACTAATCGACCATTTTGCGATCACTCTTGCAATTGATTACGAAAATGTAAACGTGGTAATTATCAACGTTAATGGATTAATCGTTAATAGAATAAATCACAATTGCATTTGGTAATCTGCGATTGTTGATAGGTAATTTGTAATTTATTTAATTCTTAAATAATTATCTTTTCTCATCATTTGTGCTATTGGACCCAGATATGAAGGATCTTTCACAATGATCATATTTTTTTGATTTGTTCGTTTTATTTCGTTTTTTATTTCGCCTCCAGATATGCGGAACGTTGTAAAATTTACGAATATGTTTCAGTTCTCATTAAAACTGCAATTTGACGAGTATACTGTCGTTCTTAATTAAATTGTCTCAACAAACATTCGAGAGAGGTTAGAAACACAGTGGCGTAAGTCACATTTTCCCCAATTGTGAGAAACGAGCAGCGTCATTGTTCACCGACGTGCGCATTGTTTATTGGCCAAATTTATTATTAAGACGATATAGAACCAAGTTAATTCATAGCGACTTTATAATTTACGTCACTTGTATTTTTAACATTTCGACGTGTATAGATTACATTTCAGGACACGTACACGCATAAGCGCATTTATTTATACACTCGTTTCTAATGATCCAAAAAATGAAGCTTCGCGATGACTAAAATCATCTTTAAATAAGCAAAAACAAGTAAATAGAATTACATTTTTTTTCTTCTGGCTGCGAAGCGTATACTTCATGAGCTACATAAAATATTCTATTTCTGCTTAAAAGCTAAAAGGCACGATGTTCCAAACAGTTTCAAGTATCCCAATTAGTGTCAAATTAATTAATAAAATTAACAGTTCAACCAAGTACAGAAATATACTCTTCGAGACACAAAATCTCGCTAATTCCTCATAACGCGTATACTCGTCGAGGACAGCTAACCGGGTTAATCATCGAATCTCCGAATATTTACAGAAATCGAAACCAGACAGTTCGCCCGGATGTATCGCGTGGAACTACAGGATATTGTAAAATATGCCGTAGGCGGTCCGTTAATCCGGCCATTAGTCTGATTAAAATAATTCCGGCCGGTGTCGGATCGATAGTCCCGTAATTATAGCATTCGGGTGTGAAGTTCTGAAATCATAATGAAGAAAAGGGACGAAGAGGGGTGGGGCGGGAGGAGGAGAGGAAAAAAGGGATCGGAAAGGAGCGGAATTTAATCGACGCGGCTGAACGGCGAGGAGGGAGCCGCGGCGGAGGGGTCCGCGGGGGGGTTGATTTCGAATTCAAGTGGAGAAATTGCGGATGGTCAGGGACGGTAAGTTATCGACCGATAAGCTGGCCGCGCGATGAAAACGGAACTCGTCGCGCGCCTCGCACTTTAGATAATAATCCCGCCCGTCGTGTTATCGCGGCGGCAACGTTCGTATTTCAATCTCAAAGGAGATTCGGGTCCCCGTCCCGTCGCGGCTGTCGATAGTTAACTCGCTTGTGTGTCCCGCACAGGAACCCGGACAACTGATGTACCCCGGCGTTCACAACGTGCGCTACATCGCTTCCGATGCAGCCGGAAATCGAGCAGAATGCCATTTCTCGATACACGTGCGAGGTAAATTTATGTGATACGAACGAAGTCGCGTGACCGTCGCGGCGGCCGGTGATCGATGATATTGAGAAACGACGTCCACCGAGTACGATGCATGGCCGCCGAGAAAATTGATAAGTTCCAGTACGGGGGAGAGGCTGCTGATCGCGTGTAAACGAAGATAAGGAATGCGTCTTCTGTCTCCCCCCGGGTTTCCGGCGCGCGCGTATTTCGTGCGTCGCTGGTGTCGGCTCGGAATTGACCCTTTAGGTACGATTCCGTTGTAACTGCGGACCGCGGTTGTTAATGCGCGATAAATATGCAAAATGCATATGGCGTTCATGCATGAAAACTGTGCAAAATATGCAGGAGAACGCGGCGACGTGAATAATTGTATATCGACGGTAACTTTCACGTTTCTAGCGATATTTGAAGATGAACTTGAGAGAACGTTGTATTTGTATATTTCTATGTTATAAATAATAGAAATATATAAATACAGTTTTCTTTTGTTTAACGTATCTGTCAAAATTACGCTCGATTTGTTAAACTTGTCAACTCTCTGACCGCGGGGTAGTTTTATTTGTTGCGCGTCCTAAGAATTAAATTAAAAAGGACATCAAAAGAAAAACAGAGACAATATCTAAACTTTTTAATCTCTTGAATCAAAAATTTTAAAAAGTTTTGATCTTTTTCAATTTAACGTTTTAAAAATTTCGATCTTTTCAATCTATTCTTGTGCTAAATTTTAACAAATTTGGAGAACGGGAATTGCAAGTGGACCACCGTTGGAGGAAAAGAAACCCAAGAGAAACTGAACAAACGTCTGTTCGAACCAGCCTGCCATAGTCGATGCAGAGAATTTTTATTCTGCATAAGTATCCGCGGTCCAACGATCAAGATTTGTATTGTGCCGAACTAAAATCACTGAGCTCCGCCGTGAGGCGAGCAAATATTTAATTAACTCGCTCCGATCAATTCGGTGTAATGGATTCCAGGGGGGATGCGATTCCGCGATGAAACAGTCCGAGATGAATCGGGCCGATAAGAGAAAGAATTATGCTGTCATCCGGGCCGGTAGGACGTCGTCTCGATAACGTCGATTGAACGCGATAGAAAACGATTAATCGAACTTATCTGGTGTCCCGTACATTTTCAGAATCCGAGTATCATCGAGATTCCGAGGTGAGCTGAAAGGGAATCGCTGGCCCGGGTTCCGCGGAAACCGGATAACCTTTGTAAACGGGTGAAATCCTGGCTGGGTTCCTCTTCCATCCAGAAACATAATTTTGTTTTGCTCATTTCGTATCCCCTCCCCGCCCCGAACCACGCCGTTCCCCGTTCCACGAATTACCGCCGCGGATAGAACGTTGTGTTCTACGCGTCGTTACCTCGATAGAGTCTCGATTATCACTGGATTCAACGTTTCAGGAATTATTTAACAATTTCGCGGACTCCTCTTTGCCACTGAACTGCGAACGTTTATTTATCCGTTTCAAAGGGACGCGTTTCCACCGCGCTGCCGTGCGCTACCTTCGGAGAAACATTTTCCAGCGACGCGACACGTTCGCGAAGGCTCGCAGAATTTCGTCAGAAAGTGGCTGGCTCCCCGGTGTACGGATTAGCGGCAAGAAATATTAATAAGGGTGTCGAGCATATGGCATCGCGGAGAAACGCAATCAAAGCGAAATTACATCGGGAAATCAATTTTTAGATGTCGGGCCAATTAAACCCATCCGCGAACGCACGAAATTGGAATTTCATGAATTTATAATCAGCCCGGGGTTTAATTATGGCATTTGCATACACGCGGAACGATTGAGGCGGTCTTATGTTTGATAAGTTTGCTCGCGTAATTAATTACGCTTTATTGGTATTTTTATTATTGGTCGTTTGCGTGCTGCTATGATCCATTGTCGCCGTTTGCTTCGTTGTTGCTGCAATTAGGATCTCTTCGATTGTAAGGATTTCTTAGAAGAGAACAAAAATTTATACTTAGAATTGAATTTTTATTACGATTTTTGAATGAACAGAATAATGTTCATACTTAACAGGTTATTTTGCTAGAAATCTTCACCAGGAGTTATAACAAATAACGTGCCAGAATTGTGATGAAGATTACATACGCAACAAAATAATTAAATATGAATATTATTCATTTTTTTCGAAATCGAAACAAAATTTGATTCTTCCGTTATCGAAGCACACTCGCGGACAAAAGTTAAGAAAATTCGCATATCGTTAACGTTTGAGGAAAATTTGCTATTTTAACAAGTATATATCTTATCAAATTGAATACTGTTTTATTTAGTGTACAGGATGAATAGAAGAAAATAAGAAAAATGAAAATAAGAAAAATCACAAACAAATTTTTTCAAATTAAAAAGATAAGAAATAGAAGGTCAAGATAAAAATCAAACATCGAAGAATTACAGAAAGATAAAATTAATGTCTTTATTGACACAAAACTAGTCTTTGCCGTATGCAAAGAAGGTTAATTGCAGCCAACAGTATATGCATTTGTGGTTTATCCGAAAAAAGAATTATCTCATTTTATCACGGAAATTATAAAGAACGAAATCCTAGTGCAAGCGGTTATCTTTTTACAGTCGGAGCCCGTTTAACTCGAAATCCAAAATAGCTTTTCTGACTTATAGTATTTCCATTTCATGTAACCCGGTGCATTTTATACATATGAATCAGAATTTCGCGACTCATGCAACAGTTACACATTTAACAGTCTCTTGAATATAAAAAGAATTTGATACTGTTAAAATTATCTTGAAACGTGATGCAACAATTCTTAACGGCCCCTTAGAGTCGCCATTCGAGAACAAAGGGTTAATAGTAATTTCTACGGCAATGCACTGAACGCGGTAAGCCGCCGTAAACATGTTGCTAAAGCGTTTTTCCATGTATCCCCGATGTTATTTCGCATTGTGCCCGCGAAACCGTGTCGGCAAGAGGCCATCGAAAAAACTGAATTCCATTTATGGGACGGTGTATTACCTGGCCTCGGCGCGGCACATAAATTTTATGGGAAAATTATTCACGCGGAGACGAAGCGGATAGGGCTGAGCTTTCAAAAATGGCGCGTCCAAATTCCTCGCTATTGCATAATTCGACAGTGACGAATACAAGCGCACTTTATACGATCCGGAAATCCCTGCCGCGTCGCGAGATCTTTGCGCTCTTCTATCTCTTCGGGGCCAGTCCGTTCGGAGAAATTCGAAAAGCCGCGGAAGCTTTCGCCCCGCCGAAATTTCGGAACACTTCCGACGATCACTTAGCTTGTTACGCAATTTACGAGTGGAGATTCCGCGGCAGCCTGCACGGACAGACCGCTTTATAACCGGGCTTTGACTTCGAAAAAACCGATACCTTCTTGGTAATGGAAATACCTATTCCGGCGTGTAAAAGCGAAGGAAACACGGGGAACTCGGTCCGCCGCAAATTCCGCATTTTTCCGCATGCTTCTGCAGTTAGAAAGCGTTTTACTTGTCGGATGCAATCTTCGCGAGACCAATATACGATTTCAAACGTAGGTAAGATGTTTACACGGAATATCGGAGCTGGAGTCGTCGGTATTACTTTCCTCGTCAATTATAATAACAATTCCGAGTTCCTCTAATATTTTCTAATACGTGATTTGCAAACAATTTTGTCCGCTGGACGCGAATCTTGGCATTATTCTTCGTCGTCTGAATATTTAGGATTAAATACGCATTTATTTGGTCGAACAAGATGTTACAAAAAATCGATGGTGTTAGTTTTTGTGTATACAATCAGTTACGAAAGTATTTGAACGTCTTTTAACCGTAGGATGACTAAAGGTTTGATGGTCAGATGAAAGCCGAGGCCGGGTCATATTTCACTTAAAACGAAATTTCTTTATTTATGTATCAAGAAATCAATTTTCCGCCAGCTTTATAATTAAATTTATTAGGTTACATGTTCTTAGTAATCTTTTTGTCTCGAAAGAACGATATTGTATTGGTATAGTGAATGAGTGAAAAGAGAGCAGTTACATTAATTTTATTACAAAACTTTATTTACTGTCCTCCTTGCTAATATCATAAACACTGACAAGTGAAGAATTCGGGTCAATATAAACCCAGCTAGTCGGCTAATATGACATAACTTCTCTAAAATAGGAACTAACGATTCCGACAATGTCTAAAAATATGTTTTTCAGAAATGATTGCAATTGGTTCGAGCGACGAAAAATAAAACGCTCGCGTTATTTATCTTTTTTATCAGTTGAATTAGTAATTAATTGAACTTCTTTAAAATTGGAAATGTTATTACGTTCTAAACGGTATGCGATCAGTTTCGCGAGTCACTGTATTCGCAGACTGAAAATTTCATTCAGTAATTGCAATGTTTGCGAACATTTGTTTAAACATTGTCCGATCTAGCTTGGTCCCTTTAATATCTTAAAAACGATTCAAAACATTTGGCCCAGCTTTAAAAAAGTGTTTCTGTTTCCAGAGTTTCAATGTGAAATTTCATGCTCGAAGAGACAATAGCGTGTCGAACTAAATGAATAGACATATACGCGTACAAAAATTGTATAGAAATTCCATGGTGTTGCTGTTTCTGTTCAGCTAGCGATACGCATCCGTTGTATTCCGTGCATGGAACCTGCATGTTCTCAAAATCATAACAGAATATTTCTTTTTTCCAGCTCGTTGTTTTCGTTACAATATTTCTGAACAAAAAAAAAGAAAAAAGGAACGCAACAGCGAAACGGCAAACGAACGGGTTCCAGAGTAATATTCTGTGTAGGATAATCTACATGAATCACGTATTAATTATTGTAAAACAGAATGCCCGCGTTGAAGGATTTTCTCGATGCATGCTCGATATTTTATTTTTTGATCGTATGCATGAGTTATCGTCGAGTTTAAAAATTCAAACCTGCCGATATTTTTAGTAAAATTTGCAGGCGAAGGCTGAAAGAAAGGTAACTGGTATATTTGGCTCATGATGGACCCGAAATAAAAAGTACAAAAAGGCGTTTTAATCTGACGTCTAATTCTATGCAAACCGTTCGCTCGATTTCATTCGGTACGAAATAATCAAAACAAGAAGAATAAAACTTTCACGCGAAGATAAAAATGGAAATACAATGTTACGGTCGCCGATGACCCGAGAACACCGATTAAGGGTTAAACAAAATTTTCATATCGTCGAAGCTCGGAAACGTTTGATCCACGGAACCGTTTACTTTACAACACGGCGATATTGGTAAGAGAGGACAGGAATTATTTTGTAATTTAATTAATCGACAACTACATGATTGTTTTACTAAAGCGGCAGCGTCGTCGGTATCAATGGGAAATCAATTAACCGCTCAGCCGGCCGTTCGAATGTCTATTAATTAAATACTTGATTATCTCCGTACACAATAGCTGAATCGTTAGCGGCGTAATTGACGTATCATCGAATTAATAAATCACGCGAATCGCGGTTCGCTCTGGGAGCATTCGCGGCTGTGGAACGCGCGTTCGTTGATCGTGGGAGATTATCGTAGTCTATTGCTTACCGTTCGCTTAACAGTCTCGACGACGACATTTCTTCCGCGTGATCAAGCCAATATCCGACTGCCATGGCGGATTTCAATAGCAGTAGAATTCTATTTTCTTTCAATACAATACAATAGCTTTTCCTCCATTATGCCCTTTCTTGCGCTCTTGCGGAAGTAGACAGCAGATTGTTCTGAAAATATGTGATCTTACAGAAAGTGGATAAACAAATAGGGCACAGAACATTGTAGCAAATAGAAAATGATATTACATTTTTTATAATTCGTTCAATGCTAGAACTGTTAGTCAGTAAAAATAACTGGCTTCCGATTTGTTATTTCAGAGTTGCTGAAATTATAAGAACCTTTCTGTGACAAACTTTTTCATCGAAATAATACACTACAATAGAAATCGTACGAAGTTCGAAATCAAAATTAAAATCGAAATTTGATTAGAAATTTGACATAGAGTTACTGAAATTATGAGAACCTTTATACGACAAACTTTTTCATCGAAATAATACACTACAATAGAAATCGTACGAAGTTCGAAATCAAAATTAAAATCGAAATTTGATTAGAAATTTGACATAGAGTTACTGAAATTATGAGAACCTTTATACGACAAACTTTTTCATCGAAATAATACACTACAATAGAAATCGTACGAAGTTCGAAATCAAAATTAAAATCGAAATTTGATTAGAAATTTGACATAGAGTTACTGAAATTATGAGAACCTTTATACGACAAACTTTTTCATCGAAATAATACACTACAATAGAAATCGTACGAAGTTCGAAATCAAAATTAAAATCGAAATTTGATTAGAAATTTGACATAGAGTTACTGAAATTATAAGAACCTTTCTACGACAAACTTTTTCATCGAAATAATACACTACAATAGAAATCGTACGAAGTTCGAAATCAAATTTCGATTTTAATTTTGATTTCGAACTTCGTACGATTTCTATTGTAGTGTATTATTTCGATGAAAAAGTTTGTCGTAGAAAGGTTCTTATAATTTCAGTAACTCTGAAATAATAAATCAGAAGTCAGTCATTTTTACTGATTAATAGTTCTAGCATTGAACGAATTAAAAAATTTAATATTATTTTCTATTTACTACAATTATAAAATAGAGGAATATACATTTATTTAACGTTTGTTTCGCATTATTTGCAACTTCTATAATTAATCTCGCGACGGAGAATCGTTTTAGTTAGCACAAAGATCCAGTGATAATTACAGACATCAGAAAATCGTTTTACTTACAAGGGATGATTCCCTATCCAGAAATTCAACAAATTCTGAAACTTTGGATACATGTAGAGCACACGTAGATACGTATTACGCAATATTTTCTTTTCTTGCGTAAATTCACATTAAGGGGTGGAAATTAACCCCCAAATACTCGGTTATTTTTTATTTTATTGTTATAATTCGCAAATACTACAAGATAGAAAAAGGGTCTCCGAACAAAAGTTGCTTCTTTTCTCCAAATTAACCATGTGGTAAATGAAAAATATCGATTATTTGTTTATAACTGTTTCCAGTTGCTTACACAATTAACGAATGGCATAGCACATGATAGATTTGGACGAAAGAAGCAACTTTTTTTGAGGATCTGTTTTTTATCTTGTACAAGGTTTATAAAAATATTTTGTCCCGACTATCATAGCCATCTTCCACACTCTTGGATAAATGGAAATTTATTTTTAAAAAATTGCAAAATTGACCACGGGCATAATTTTCAGAGTAAAATTTGTTTTATTGTAAAACATATAGTACTCTTATCGAAAGAAACAATTCCGAAAGGAACCATGGGTCCCAAGTCAACTCTTGACGGAAAAACGCTGTTAAAAGCGACGTATAAAAATAATATATCACGACCACCGCACCAAAAATCGTGTTATAACCGGCTCGTCCATCTCAGTTTTCCGGAAAACAAAGCCTTAAACGAAAAAAAATGTTATACTCTTTTTTCCATCTATTTTTGCACATAGAATCACTACGCGGCCGCTTGTACCACGATTTTTGACGCGGTGGTCGTGTCATATAATTTTTATATCATTTTTAACATCGTTTTTCATATCAACTGGAAACAATTCTAAACAAATAATAGATATTCCTCAATTTACTACATGGTTAATTTGGAGAAGAGAAGTAACTTTTCTATCTTGTACTGTTTAATAAAATAAAAAATGGCCGAATATACGGCTACGACGGCCGTGACAAAAAACATTTTCACAGAGCCTGTACAATTTGAATGTCCCAAAGTCCCCGCGTCCCAAAGTCTCCGATCATTTATCCGGACGCCGAAAACAGGGTCAGCCGTGCCCGCGATCCGCGCTCGTCGAATCAGAAACCCCGTTTAATCAGATTTCATGATTTAGCCGCGACACTATAGGAGAAGGATGCTGATGTGCCCGGGCAGGCCACCGCAACCGATACCATCCACCGTTTACGCAGTAAGTGGGCCTCTTCCGCGTCGAATTAACGGGGAACCGAAGGACGCCAACTATGTCACCTAATTCCATTTCCAGTGGCAGATACCGAGCGGATGCTATTTGAGGTACACGAGGATCTTCTCCGGGGCGTACGCGATTCAAAACTATCGGGGACAGAGGCAGAACAGTTACCAAGACGCGAGAGCAGCTTATCACGAGGTTCATCCAATTCGTGGAAGTCAAGGACACCTTCCACCACCCAGATCGTATCCTCTCGGCGACTGTAAGTACTTCGCGCTTCTACTTCACGTTACCGCGATTCTATTCCCGCACATCCGGCAGTGTTAGCCTCTAATCTAATCGACCTGATACTGCCGCCCCGCTGAAACGCAACGACGAGAACCTCCTCGTTCGTGCTCCACGTTCCTCTTTGTTTTTTGCGAACACCGAATGGGATCCTCGAGTTGCGTTCACAACTTTCCGGGCATCTAAGATAATTATCCGAATAAATTTCCTTTCAGTCGAATATTTGATTCGAGATATTCTTCATTCGTCGTATATTTTTCAATCTACGCATTCGAACGATTCTCTTTATTCGAATAACTTTTTGATCGAATAATTTTAGGAACTGTTTATTCGAATGATCCTAAAAAGTAACATGGCAGAAATTAATTTGTATTCGAATCGATTAGCTTCAAATTGGTATTCTTTTCTTATCTTTAAATAAGTATATTATTTTCAAATAATCGTTGATTTAGTTAAATCAGTTATTTAAATATGAAATAATTTGATATAAAATAGTAGACATTGAATGCTTAAATGAAGTACTATTTGGAGATATTATTATGTTAAACGTTTAAATTATGAGAAGATACTGTTTACTATTTACACTTGGATTTAAAATGCAAGGTGTTTTGTAATTATGTTAATACCTGAAAAAGGGATTCCTGAGGTCATTCGAAGTAACTTTTTCCTTAGCGAAAATGCAACCCGTGGCTCTGTTTACGAGTTATTAATGAAAAACACTGACCAATGAGAGGCGAGTTAGGCTGGCGCGAGGCGGTCGAGCCAACGAGCGCACCAAGCCCAGTTCCGCTGATTGGCTCGGTCGTCCCGCGCTAGGCGTGCCTGCCTCTCATTGGTCACTGTTTTTCGTTAATAACTCGTAAACAAAGCCGCGGATTGCATTTTCGCTAAGGAAAAAGTTACTTGAAATGATCTCAGGAATTCCTCACTTCCGAATTGCGAGACATATTTGGGACACCCTGTAGAGTAATGCTCCTTCAAGCACCAAGTCCAATAGTGTAAATACTACGACATAATACGGTAAAGCAAGCCAACCAACAGTGCCTTTACTCTATTATATTGTCGTATTTATGCAGATTGGTTTTACTGTGTTGGACTCGGTCTTTGTAAATGCCGGTAAGTGGAAAGTCAGTCAGTTAAGAGGTTAAATATCGCCGCTTTCTGCCTGTTTCCATTCGTATCGTAAGGATCAAAGGAAAATGGGAAACACATGGCGGCTCACAGAAACAGAAACTAATGTTAGCGCGCACGCTTTGTAGCCCAATTTAGGGTGCGGTTACAGGGGATGCTTGTTTGGACAATACATCAGAGCAACCGAATTAATTCATTCTTATGCGGATCGTTGCAACTTCGGAAGTCCTTCCTCCGCGGACGTATTTAGAGTTGAACGGAAATCTGATTGTCTAAAGACATGTTTTTTAATTATATTTAATATACACGGTAAGTAAAGTTGATTGCAAAATCTCTTAATAACTTATAAATACAAAAGTTGCATGATTCGATATAAATATTTCTTATTATTTTTCTTAGATTTAAGCGCTGTTGTAAACATTATGCGAATGATATTATGCACAATTATATTATTATACAATTATTTGATAAGGGTAGGAAAATAAAGAAATGTAAAGAATAGTTACACATTATGCGTTTCATGAAAAATTGTTAAATACAAAAGCGTCACGGTTTCGAAGCTGGTAAATGATGGTGGATCGACTTTTGTGCTTAACAATTTTTCATAAAACGAATAATATAAAAGTTATGCGAAATGTTCGAATTGATATTCCAAAGGGCTCGTAGGATTTATTCGATTCATATTTTAGCTTTTCTAAGAATTTGTGCTTCGAGGAAGCATATCGTTTGCATACCTCTTTTTTTCATTCACTTCGTCAAGAATTTGACGAATGACAGCGGATGAGTGCATCTATTCCATTATTACGCCATCAATTAGTTTGAAGAAATTTCAACAAAATTTCAACAAATTTGAACGATTTCTCGTACTTATGTGTGTGTCGATTACACTTTCTCGAAACCTAAAGTCACCGCGTTTCCATATCGAATAGGTGTTTACAGTTTCGTGGTAGGTGTCAGAAATTCATACTGAAGATCATAACGATCGCTACTAATCCCAGTAATCAATATCTGATGAAGGAGCTCTGCATTAGCAACTACGCCGAATAGTCATGATCAGTCGATCATTAGCTGCGTAATTTGACCGTGTTAAATCGCAATCAGTTTCCGATTGCGTAGCTGTTTGATCTGGAAATTGCAGGCAGCCAGTTAGGCGATCAGAAGACGCGCATTAGCCAATTAGCTGAAACCGAGTCTCTCCGACGTGACTCTTCGTTCAAAAAGCTCTAATCTCTTCCACCGTGTTTCGCAGTTTTTTCGCTCGACTCGAGAGGGAAGCGAGAAACGCAAATTTTTTCAACATTAGAAAAATCTCGTTGGAAGATCTCACGGAGAAGCTGAATAGTAATTGTCCGCATTCAAATTTGCGACGTATTTTCCCAAAATTGAAAGAGTTTTTTCTTCAAAATGTTGCGATAAAAATGCACGTTAACGCTTAATAATATGGCATAATGTATATGGCATAATATATATGGCATAACTGTATATGGCATAACTATTTAGTTATGCTACTTTTTTGAAACAGTTTAATCAGTTGCATTTATATTAGGTTTTACTTGCAAAATAGATGCTAAATGAAAAGTACAACGAAGTGGTTAATAATAATATTTGAAATAATAAAATAATTCAAATAGTTTAAAAATAATAGTTAATATTTCGTTCCGTTGTTTCTTCTTCGCGACCATCGAGATTATACGTCGCGATTTTTAATGTTTCTTTCACACATCAAATTCATTTTATTAAAATTTCGTATACGTTGCTAATATATACCTAACAATAGGTAGATCTTCTATACCGATTCAAACAACTCGTTGTTCACCGATGCAAACAACGACGTCCACCTCGGAAGGGTTACACACGTCGATTAAGTCGTTGCATTTTCGAAGTGCATTTCGAGCCGAGAGTTCGCTCGGATGCCGAGAGGCTTTCGCTTTCATTGAAGTGTGATAGAATTCATAGAGAAAGGATGACGGTCTTTCGATCCAGAGGTCCGCGGATCGATTCGCGGCCGTGGTCCGGCGATAAGAATATAAAGCACGTCATAGGAGATAGCTGGTTCCCGCGGATTAAAGATCGACCGATCCTTATGCAAAATAACGCATATTTGTGCCGTCGAGCGAGCGCCTGTCCCAGGAGCACGATTCAGCCATCTGCATTTTTCTACCACAAACTGGGCCAAGATGGTAGCGAAGAAGCAAGAAGAGCGAGACGGCGGGTCGAGAGGATGAGCGAAGACATAGTTACGGAGTCTCCGGAAATTCAACGGGGCGGGGAAAAAAAAGATAAAAAGCGAAGAAAAAGAAAGCGGGAAGAAGCACGAAGAGAGAAAAAGAAGAAGAGAACGGTGAAAATAATTTCTGCCGGAGTAGCGGCGTAATTTAGTGGGAACCGGGATTAAAACAATTTCGTGTCGCGCCCTCGAGATTGCGCGTTCGTTAAGAAGCAAAATCTTCGGGGCAGGAAGCTTCGAAATTGCTGGACTATCAAATTGTCGTGACACAATGAGCGATGCTTCATTTGAAAGTCGAATGGGACCATTACTTTGTGACCTGCATCTTCCCCGGGGACACGTTTGCAAGTAAAACAGTTTCGCCATGAAACCTGTATGCACGAGATAAAAAGCGTTTCAACCCTATTAGAGACAAAAAAATGCATAATCGTTCAGACATCGGGGCACGTTTACACCGCGTCCCTCTGTTTCGTTTACGATTATAATACGGATTTTATGCATACATGATGAAAAATGAATCGATCGAATACAAAGCATAGAAGTGAAAAGATGGAATACGTTTCGGCTTTGTGAAGTTTCTTCGTAGAAAACTTGCTCTAATCGTGCGATTTATTCGAGCGTTTCCCGTGAAATTTATTCAAGCGTTTTTACAAGTTTCTAAAGTTTGTAGAATTGTAAAACAAAAAGTCGGTCATTTTGATCGTGGCAGGTTTAGTGTTAAAAATACTGTTGGACTAGTTTCAAATTGATCGAATAATTATGAAACGAAATATCTCCGGTATCTCGTAATTAGCACAGACTATTTTTATGTTAGTATAAAACAAAATTATTCGGATGAAAATGAATCGCTGTCGGTCATTTTCATTTTCACAAGATTTTCAGCTTTTTTTCGGCCATTTCAGACGATTCGGTACTAGCATTTCAAAGGAGAGGCTAATATTTATACGTCTGGATGTTTGTTTGTTTGTTTGCTTGTTTGTCTGTTTGCTTGTTTATTTGTACGGTTGTTTGTTCGTTCCAACGTCACACGAAAGTGGATGGCATAGTTTCGGTCGTACTTGATGCACACGTGTACACGACCAACGATCCAATTGACGCAACACTCAAGAAACCGCTGCTGTTATTTAACTGATGCGAATTATTTATTAAGTCGAATGCCATAGTAATCGCAAGTTTAATTCGGAAGTTATTTTACTCTGAGCGACGGTGTCCTAAAATATTATTCTTACGTCTCAAATTATATAATACATCTCTTCAGTTTATTTAAAAAGCTTCATTAATGTTCATATAAAATACGCTGGAAAACAAGGAAAAAAGTGAACCTGTTTTGCTTGTGCCAGTATTTTAATAAAAATGCTACTTTCGGTCATCTTTAATATATATATATATAAATATATATGATTAAATGTATATTTATATATATTTTAATTATTACTTTAATTATTATATTACATTAATATATATTATTATTATTATTATAAAGATATATTTCTCTTCAAAGAAAAATGTCAAATCGAACTGCATCGTTCGAAACAAAGGGAGCCCAGATATTCGAAAAATGTAACATCCCGCGATGTGATAAATAAAATTCAATAAAGACAGAAGAACAAAGGATTGGG